CCAGGACTTATCGTCTGAGAAGACATTCTAAAAAATCGTAAAAGCCTAGATCAAATAGTTTACAACTGGAGTTTAGCTTCTTGCACCAAGTGGTGAATTACCGGAATTCTCTACTACAACACGCAATATCAAAACCCTGTGTTGATACATTCAAAGTGATATTGGATCTTCACTGCACTACAAATTGCAAGGACTAATATAGGTTGACTGATCTATCCTTACCACTGAAGACTGACTACTTTGTAATAAAACATTGCGGTTACGTTTACCACTCATTTAATATTATCATTTAACAATACCATACAATGTAGTGTTTATCCTGCCTACGCTGACTCTGATAATGTTATCACTATGTATAGTTAGAATACTTTTTGTAACAAATACTTGTCTTACACCTCATTGTAGTTGTAGCAATAGAAAGGCAAACTGATTCAACCACCGGTAGTGTTGTGACTTTAAGACCGGATTAATATCATGTGACTTATTCGCCAATCAAATACGACTTATACCATCTTAGCACTGTGTCAAACCAATGACGTTCGACTGGTATGAGCAACCCAGCGTTCTTATTGGTCCTTTGTTCTCCTAGCCCTTCCAGTTGAGTCCAGAACGCTAATAACAGCTTCCACTATGCGAATCATTTATTTTAAGCATACTTGGTTTATGTACCAGCCAAAGAGACCATATCACACTACAAGAAAAAGAAATAGTATTTGTGGTGGTTGCTATTCAGCCAAAGTGACCAAGCAGACTATATTTTTGTTTCAGGCGACTGCTTACGATCATTATCCAAACTATTTTGACGGAAACAGTTGGGCTGTGCTTGGCAATAAGCTCCTTTGCTATATTCACTATTGCGATAGATTCTGACAAAAAGCCCATTACATCCAAGCAGCACTATCAATATAACCACACCCATCCAAAATGATATCTTTCAAAAGCTGTAAGTGCCAGAGGTTTCACTAAAATTTTGTATCATACAGGTAGGCCAGTTAACTATAAATACAACTCCTGTCGAGTAGTATCATCGTTTGTGATCAACCATACTAGGAAGCCTAAACTACATTTCTTTACTAACCTTCTCTGTAATGATGAAGCATATCATTGCTCGGTATTCTGATAGATGCTTTTAACACAGTACATTACAGAAACTATCAGTTAGTGATCCCACTCATACGAAGGGGTCTACCAACATATTTAGAAAAAACAACTCCAGTTTACAACGTATTTACTTATTCAAATAACAGAACGACTAGTAAAATATACTTGAAATTAACTATCTAATAGCGAACAGTGCCATTTATTCTGCAGTTAATCGTAATGATTCATATATATTCCCCCATCTGGACATATTGCAGAAGGTGCGGGCGACAAACATATTGATCATTGAAGTTTCGACCTTATTTTAATCGAGAGCCGCACATTAAACTAGCAATTTTGGACAACTGAAGACCTTAAGATGAATGATGCTGATCGGAAGAAATTGTGTGAAAGTAGAATCGATTCATAATCTAGGACTTTAATGGACGCTTAACAAATGAATATTATTTGAGTAGATAGTCGCTATAAGGTAGGTGATCATCATTACAAGCAAGTCCGTCTTTAAAGCATATGCGGCTGTTTTTTAGAACATTCCTGAAAGGCGTCTACAGCAGAAGAATATATCGTAAGAAAATAAATTGCCCCAAAACTGAACCAGTTTGGAAAGAGTAAACGACCGCGAAGCATCAATATCCATACTAAACCTCGAAAATTAAGCGAGAAAAACACGAAACTGCGAATTTTAAGGTTGTGATTGAAAAGAAGTAACGTTAGACCGCCGAATTCGCTCCATATCACCGAAATAAGGCGTTGGGAACAACTTAAAATCCATAAAAACCCCAGACCTAGCCGTCCAGTGTGAAATTTTTGTTTTATGACTATGTTACTTATTAGTAATCAGTGTTTATCTAATTTTTGCATCAGATCGGTTAAATTAATTATCGACAAAGTGGCGATGCTCTAACTGGTCGAAACGCAATTTTCTTGAACAGCCATTTGGAACCAGTTATTTTCGCGTTTGACTGTGTTGCGATTGACTGTTTTTTTATTCTTATCATCCTGAATGCAAACTTGACTTCAACTAAGTCTGATTTACTGTGGAACCAGATGTAATATGTTCGAGTAACTAAATCAGTCTTCAGATTCAGATAGATCTCGGGTGCGTCATTAAAGTGAATTCAACCGTCATTTTAGCGAATATGAAACAGTATAGAAAATTATTTACCATCTATAATTCCAAACATGAATGATGATCTGACATCTAGATGACAAGTAGCCGACCGAATAAGATATCATCTAGCTAACGAGAACAAGAACGTAACTCAAAATAACAAATAATGGGCATTCCAAGCATCATAAAAAAGGACAAGCTTTATTCCCGTTGGAAGTAAGAACTGTAAGTTATATGAAAAAGAGGAATCCGTTTGTAAATAATTTCTTAATTAATACTGATATGATAGAATAAAAGTAGGAAAATCAAGCCAGTGTGGAAGTTGATCATTATGACATAAGTAATATGTGTTCACTTAGGAAATTATTAACTAACTGATATTAAATGCAGTTCAGTTAAATAATGTAAATCCAACGGCTAATCCGAACATAAGTTTTACAAAGAAGGTAGTTAATGTGTACATTATTTTGGGAGTCAAATAAACCTTCATCATTTATCTTTGGTTTTCACAACGCGTCGGCGGATTCGGGATCTCAGCATCAGGTACAACCCATTTAAATATCCAGCGATGGTAATAATTCCAGACAACAAATAATTATTGATTAGTTGGTTTCCGGAACCTTAACATGGTTTTAACAGTTTAGGTGCCGATGAGTTACATAGAATCTACGATCTCACGGAGGAGTTGGTAATGGGATAACCGGTTTAATCTGTTAGAAGACTGATCTCTGTTTTTCCAATTCAGCATCTACGAAATGGCCAAACCACGGTGTCGCCATTGATTAAAGAAACTCATCAGGAATGAAGATAGACGAAAGTAGAGATTTGCCGGGTACTCTAAACCCCAGAGAGAAACAAATTTCACAAGTACAAAACACCTGTTTTACAATACATCATACGCTCTAACTTTTACAACCACATCGAGATATCAGCAGTGCAAAAGTTGGCTCAAATCTCAATGAACTCAAATTGTTTTAAACTGTAACGTTAACACTACCATTTATACATCTCAAAAACGCCAAAATTTCAACCATTTCAACGGCCCACCGCAAAAGTTGGACTAAGCATCCAAAAACACCCCCACAACCTGATACTTTAAAGAACATGACAATAATCATTAAACGGGAAAGTATTATTTAAGTATGTTTCTATTCATAATCATCAAAAAGTCTTTCTTCAGATAATTAAATCACATACTTACCACGAAATTAAAACTACTTTGCAGCCATTATTAGGTTGCCACAGATAGTGAAGTTGAGAAAAAACCCTAACGTTGGGCAATACTAGATATTTCAACAAAAGGACTGAAACAATTGAGATGAAGGTGTATAGTGATTGAGGATGTTAATATTCTTACTCACACCTTCATCGCCTAAACATCATAGCACGATCCACCTATTACCTGTTCTCATCAAGTGAATCTTACCTGCCTTGACCAACCGTAATTATAGAAGTACAGTAGCAATTCACAGGTGAATCCCAAAGACTGTCTGTTAGGTGTAACATTCAGGATGTCAATCGATAACACGAACCATTGGGTTTTAAGGTGAATAATATAAGGTAACATAACAACAATAATTCTATGTACAGAGTGATTGTATTCAACTAACATCACCTGACAAGTGGTACTATTTATAGCTGAACAGTAATTAATAACACTATGGATAGAAATCATATTTAATGCTCTATAATTACAAAATGTAACCAACTGAAGGTAATCCACTACAATTTGAAAACTGTCAGTTTGAATTTCGCCCAAAATGCCCTGGTACGGCCGAGGGTGGGGGAAGTTAGCTCTCCCTCTCGAAATGCTCTCACATGGCCACGCGTATACAGCCACTGCCAGGGAAGTCCTACTCACTGCCTTCTCGCGGCGAGGGTGTTGTTTACGAAATTGAGAGGACGGAAAGCGAATGTCCGGCGCTTTAACCGGGTTGGTGGATATGGGGGATCCATCTAGGAGAGTTGGAAAACCCTGATTCCAAAACACTGGTGCACATGGGCTCTGGTATTCTGAAGTAACAAATAAAACGAACCAATTGTTGGTCACCGGTTACCATGTGACTGCATCTCCTGACGTTTCTCCATTCTCTTGTGGATTAAACTTTTAGATCAAAGGCTGGAGTGACCTAAGAAAACCACCTGCTCCGATCTGGGCACCAGGGCAGTATCACAACCCACACACAAATCAAGTGACTTGTGTGGCGCATTTGTATTCGGTGCCCTTTGTGTTCAAATAAAATAAAATTTTCGCACTTAATAATCGCTACCTAGGAAAACAACTACTGAGTCACCCAACAACGGCTATTTTATAGACTAATTACAAAATAGAGAAAAAAAATTTAAAGAAAATAAACACCTTGAATGTAATATTTTCCGGTAACTTGAATTTTGTTAAATGCACCCTCCTAAATAACTGAAAAAATTAGACATTACAAGTTTATTCAAATAACCTAATGAGCAAATAGGAAGATACAGAAAATGGAATCAAGATGAAGAAGACATTTTTTTATAAACTTAGAACAAGGAAAGCATAAAAGAAGAGATATTACATTTCTATACACCAAAAACAATGAAGTGATAATGATGATGAAATTACTTAACTTAAATCCCCGCGAACCTAATGAATGGCGAAAACGATACTGGAATAGGATTTGAATAAGTTTTACAATACTGTCAGTATTAATGTCTGACATGATAACGTCATGCAAAAGTAACAGTAAAAACACAAAAAATGTTGAAAATGTCCTATTATGGAAATGAAGTAATGGGACGATCTATTCTGAATTCAATGTGCACTTGACGATGAAGTAACAATACCAGGATTTGGAAGATCAGTTTCTGTAGTCGAATTGGTTGTGACGGCATGAGATTTCTTTTTTAAATTTGAAGAAACAGGATGTAGACCATTTTGTGAATGTAAACCCACATTAAAATCAAACCAAGGATGACGACCGAAACGACGAAGTTCAGTTAACGACAAAAATTTACGTCGAGAACGTCTGAGATAAAATAAAACAGCAAAAGAAATTTCTTGTAAATTAACCCAGGAAAATGACATTTTAACAAAAGAATAAAAAATAAGAAACCAATAGGGATTAATTCAATTGTAAAGGATGAAAATGAAGAAAAAGTAGACCTTTTCAGGCTAATATTCAAAAAGACATAAATTTGCATTAATGAAACAATCTCACATGAGAATATGATGCAGAAGCTCTTTCAAGTCAGTATCTTCGATTTGCAATTCGTTATTTCTGTTTGCAATACATCCCTCCTACTTATTTGTTCTTGGAGAGTTACAACAGACAATAGTGAAGAACTCGAACGCAATGACATGAAAATTCTTGCATTACAAACTTTATGATAAAACTTTAGCAGTTTTGATGATAAGTGTCTCTCAATAATTCTATTTCAAATAACGGTGAAATCTTGTTTAACAGATATGCTGTAGCTGTAAGCACATGAGATATATGAAACTTAGCTTACTGACTAAATATAGGTTTGTGTACACCGCTTTGAGCCTTGTTTCTGCCTACATAAAGAGGTTAAAGGTAATTCTAAAACGAAGAAGAGCAGCAAACAAGAGATTTTTTAAGGATGGTGGGTTATTTTTAACGGTTAAGTTAACTGAGATATCAGCTAGAGTTTGAGAAATGGTAGCGATCCCATCAAATTAGTTTCGATTGTTGATTAGTCCATAGGAAAAGAAGGAATTTATATATGACAAGCACAAAGAACTAGTTTGACTAAAACAGTGTTTAAATTATAAGCCTCAACAGTCCTTTAACACTTAATTAGGACACATGAAGAGGAACCAGGCTAGTTTCAGACTTAAACGTGGATATGTAGACCAAATAGTCTGTAGTGTCGATTACTATGTTAAGCCCACATTTCAAAATAACTTCCCTTTTTAACGATATAAATTTTCCTTTGTACTTTAACTATGATACTTCTCAAGTGAAATAATTGGTTATCTCGTTGAATGTACCATGACTAAAATCTATGTAATCGAAGTCAAAATAACTAAAAGTGAACAATTTACTTTGGCATGGCATTTACTTATGATTTTTAATTGTACTGCAACAATCATTCTTATGTTAGATAGTTCATAATATACTTTCTCTAAAGGTTTAACATCATTTTGCTCACTGAAGCTTATTAGAATAAAAATAGAGAAAATGAAAATATGTTTTATAAACTTATCGAGTGTAACTATAATATTCTTGAATTGAAAAAGTCATTTTTGTTGTTTGATACCATAATCCTGAAGGAATGAAGTTTGCAGTCTCCGATGATATGTTGAGACCACACAGCTTATTCTAGCTTCTGAACAGGCCGATCTATTCATTCTTCTTGTATCACGTTTTGACTTTGTTAATTATTCACTTTTCAACCTTGACTGTTTTTATATGAACATATATGTGTGTATATCTTATCCTAGTCATGACGTCAATAGTTTGATTTTGTGTGACTATAAATATTGATTAACGCTTGATGAAATAGAGTTGGCTCACATGCCTTCTCCAACGCGCGTCATCTCGCTTCGCTTTCTTCTATTCGCTTCATCCGTCTCATTTTCTGCCCAGATAAGTGAGTGTACAAAATATATGTATTCAAACATCCATTCTCGTATTTGACTTATTTAATTCCGTTATTCACTAACGAGATTTCAGTTGATGATTATGTAAGAGGATAGACGATATGTATATTTCATCAACCATTCATACGATCTACTCGGAATCTGATTTCGGGCCACAAGTTTCTGGACATTCACTAGTTACAAATTAACTTGAGAAACACTATAAGCCCATGATTATTACATATTTCTTAAATCAAGTGAAAAATATACATATGCATTCATTGTAATTAGCAGATGGATACATTCTCTATTACATGTAGGTAGTCCCGAAAATTAACGTACCAATGAACTGAAACCATCAACCAGCTCAGTTCACAAACCGTTTCTAATTCCGTTTGTTTCGTTGTCTTTAGCCTGTCGTTTGCTGAATTTATGTGAAGTTTGAGCTTTAAAGACGATGCGTTTCTGTACTATCACTTTTCTCAGTTAGGATATTCCATCTTTTATGGATCAGTGCACTTTAATGAGTTAATACTACCAGAAACACTGAAAGATAAATCTGTTAACATGGCTTGTAAGAGAAACAACGAAATTTAGTAAGTTATTTACAACTAACACAGGGTACGTCACCCTAATCATATGAGATACAACGATTTGAACATACGGTGTGGTACTTTAGTATACCTTACAAAGTTCCTTATATTTCCTAAGTGTGTAAAAAGATGGTTGGTATTTTTATGTCTATCAAAGATGCTACTGATATCTAGGCTTAGTCTGAAGAGGGAATACATGAAATATTAAGCATTAAAGCATACAGTTCGAAATGGATACTTACTTAATCAGTTGAGTGGCTCGGTACATCAAAGTTGACGCACCATCTACATCAGACCCAACAGTAAAACGACGTTTTGGACCCAAATTTATGCACCCATGATTGTTTGACATGACTTCAATGTTCGATTCATCATCAGGAATTGTCGCGTTAGGGTTCTTATTAGAAATACAGTCGGCATCTATTAATTATAAATGAAATTGTAGCTTACACATCATAATCATTAGACAGATGTGTTACGGATTAGATGAACTTGACTAAAAGCCAATGCGAAAAACGCTGATAAGCTAAAAGTCGAAAATGTTATCAAGTGCAATTAGTCGTTAAATTTACTTTGGAAACATGGAACAGCATCCAGAATTCCGCGTTAAATATAATTAAAAATAATACTCAGTGAAAGTGACGTGAGTGCAGTCTGGTTAAAAAGTGAAAACCTAATGGTCAAAAAGTTATGTTTCAGCACAACATATATAAATAAGATATTATTGCTGCTACCTTGACGTGGTGATCGGGCTTGCTTATCGTGATGAACCAATCGAGCTATACTGGCTGGAATAATCGTTCCTCAATGTCCTACCATACCAGACAGGTCGGTTGAGGAGTAATAAGACTAAAAGCAGCAAACCCAAGATCCAAGGGCGAAGTCGTACTGTTGACTGTACAGCGGTGTGACGGCAGTAAGGCGTTCCCTTCAGACAACCAGCATAACAGCGATACTGCCTTCCTACAAGGAGGGGTGTGTTTAGAAAAGTTTGACCGTAAGAATCCACACAGCGCCTTATCCCATGGATCTCCGTCTCCGACGGTAAGGTCTCAACAAGTACAGAGCTAACACGAAACTTACTCACAAAAAGGTCTCGTGTGACCGACCTCAAGCAGTTGTCTCTTGGGTAGTGTGGTCACGCTCTCAGGTCACTAAGACCACTTATAATCCAATTTCGTTTTCAGGTACCTCCAGAAGAGTTCTTCCACGGTGTGGTCAGCCGGGAAGTGACAACCGCCGTCATACCTCTAATAGCAGTCAAGATCACTGTATTCATCATTAATCTACCTTAATAATTATTAATTGCTGCTCTCTAAATATCGTATTATCACATAATCGTATTTTGTAAATTTTGTCCTTTTGCTTTATTCAAACTATCACGTACTATTTATTCCTTTTTTACTTTCTATGTTATTTTCCTTTGGCTTTAGTTCCTCACATCATTATTTCTACTGGTCAATAATCTGAGTTGCGTCAACATAAATTTGGTGACTGTGTGCTTATTAAAACTCCGCCTCGAGTCACTTCGGGGGCTACTGCCGGTCCCAAGCCCGGATAAAGGAGGGTTGGGCATGGGGTTGGTGACCCCATCCCGTAGAAAACTAACTCGCTAAATAACGCTAACCACGAAAAATTATTAAAACCATTTAAACTCTGCCCTGGGAGTCAGGTCTTCATTTAGAAGAGTTATGACGCCTCATAATGAAAGACTTGTTCCTTCGGAAATCTCATGGACCAAGGGTCATCAAAGCCTCATTCAAAACAAAGAAAGAGGGCATTTCAATGCACATCATCCAATGCTATGCGCCTACCAACGACCACAATGAAGAAGCCAAAGATCAATTCTACGATAGGCTGCAGTCAATCGTCGAGAATTGCCCAACAAAGGACCTGACCATTCTGATGGGAGATTTCAACGCCAAGGTTGGAACGGACAACACCGGATACAAAGACATCATGGGACGACACGGACTGGGAGAAACGAACGAAAATGATGAGAGATTTGCAAACCTATGTGCCTTTAATAAACTGATCATAGGAGGCACTATATCCCCACATAAACGCATTCATAAAACCACATGAACTTCACCGGATCACACCACGCAAAACCAAATCGACCACATCTTCATCCATAAAAACTTCAGGAGGACGATGGACGATGTGGGAACCAGGAGAGAAGCTGATATAGCATCAGATCATCACTTGTTGGTCGCCAAGATGAAATTGAAACTCAAGAAGCACTGGACAACGGGGCGGACATCACAAAAGTTTAGTACGGCTTTTCTCCATGATACTGAAAAAATCCATAAATTCAAGATAGTCCTCAGCAATAAGTTCCAGGCCTTTCATGATTTACTCAAAGGAGAGCAACTGGAAAGGGATAAAAGAGGCAATCACGGATCATTGTGGAACAACCAATTGAATGGAATTCATCACTCTACATCAACTTCATTGGCTACGAGAAAGCATTTGATAGTGTGGACAGAACAACACTATGGAAGCTTCTTCGACACTACGGCGTGCCTCAGGAGATAGTCAATATCATACAGAATTCATACGACGAAGTAAAATGCAAAATCGTGCATGGAGGACAATTGACAGACTCGTTCGAAGTAAAGACCGGTGTCAGACAAACTTGCTTACTCTCACCCTTTCTCTTTCTCCTGGTGATCGACTGGATCATGAAGACATCAAAATCTGAAGGGAAACACGGGATACAGTGGACATCTAGGATGCAACTGGACGATCTAGACTTTCGCAGATGATCTGGCTCTTCTATCGTACACGCAACAACAAATGCAGGAGAAAACGACCAGTGTAGCAGCAGCCTCAGCAGCCGTAGGTCTCAATATACACAAAGGGAAAAGCAAGATTCTCCGATACAACACAGCATGCACCAATCCAATCACAATTGACGAAGATTTGGAAGATGTAAAAACCTTTACATATTTGGGCAGCATCATTGTTGAACATGGTGGATCTGATGCAGATGTGAAAGCGCGGATCGGTAAAGCGAGAGCAGTATATTTACAACTGAAGGACATTCCTTGACCTTAAAGCAGCAGTCGACTCTGTTGATCGTGAGGTTTTATGGCAGTGTTTGTCACTGAAAGGAGTACCAAAGTACATTAACCTTGTAAAGGCTCTCTACTCGGACACAACTGGTCGAATGAGAGCTTATGGCGAACTGACATCAGAATTGAATACCTCAAGTGGTGTTCATCAGGGCTGCCCATTATCTCCATTCTCGTTTAACTTTGTTATTGACGTACTTTTAGAGATAACACTTTCCTCATCTAAATTTCCAGGGGTTGAACTTCTACCAGGAGATTCACTTGTTGACTTGGAATATGCCGATGACATAGTTCTATTTGGTGAAAACGCTGACAAAATGCAGTCTTCTGACCACTCTAAGCAACAATGCAAGCATGTTCGGGATGCGATTCTCTCCCTCGAAATGCAGAATGTTGCTTCAGGATTGGGTTGCATTGACACCCGAACTAATGATAGAGTGAAGTAGTTGAGCGTGTCGACCGCTTCACTTATATTGGAAGTCTCATCAGCCCTTGTGGTCTGGTGTGTGACGAAATCTCAGCACGGATACAGAAGGCTCAACTAGCTCTTGCCAACTTGCGTCATTCATGGCGTAGGCGAGATATCCGTCTATCAACCAAAGGACGTGTTTACTGCGCAGCAGTTCGTTCCTTCCTACTTTATGGCAGTGAAACGTGGCCGGTAAGAGTAGAGGATATTCGTAGGTTACTAGTATTTGATCATAGGTGTCTTCTAAACATTGCTCGTATATCCTGGGACCATCGAGTAAGTAATGCAGTTGTTAGGAAACGGGTACTAGGTAAGGATGGCAAATCAATTGATGAAGTAGTGAAACTTCATCAGTTGAGATGGCTGGGACACGTGTTACGTATGCCCAACGACCGACTGCCTCGACGTGCTATGTTCAGTGGTATAGGAGTAGGTTGGAAGAAAGCTAGGAGCGGCCAAACCAAAACATGGCACAAGTCCATGAAGTCACTGACAAGTGGACTGAGTCATGTTGGTAGGTGTAGACTACCTAGTTGGGGACCGCGAGATGATAGCAACCGATGGTTAGAGACCCTGAATGACATGGCTCAAAATCGTTTGCAATGGCGCAGGTGCATCCACTCTGTGTTCTCCCAAATTCTAATCTTCTGAATTCTTCATGTCCCTTTTTTTCCTCTTTCCAAATTTATTTCACTGGATTATACTCTTTAAATAACATCTCCAAACCCTAATCTTCCCGATTACTGCTTATACTCTTACTACCTCTACCACTACGGGATTTGAATCGACAACTGCATCTCTGTGCTAATGTGGTATGGCAATTCGAACTGATGTACGTACGTACGAAGTTCTACGTTGTTACTGACTGACTGACTGAAGGACATCTGGAACTCAAAACAACTGTCAACCAACATCAAGGTCAGGATTTTCAATACAAATGTTAAGACAGTTCTACTGTATGGGGCAGAAACCTGGAGAACTACAAAAGCCATCATCCAGAAGATACAGGTATTTATTAATAGTTGTCTACGCAAAATACTTTGGACCCGTTGGTCAGACACGGTCAGCAACAACCCATTATGGGAGAGAACAAACCACATTCCAGCGGAGGAAGAAATCAGGAAGAAGCGGATATGAAGTGGATAGGGCACACACACATTGAGGAAAGCACCCAACTGCGTCACAAGGCAAGCTCTCATATGGAATTCTCAAGGCCGAAGGAGGAGAGGAAGACCGAAGAACACATTACGCCGAGAAATGGAGATAGACATAAGAATGGACAACAATTGGATTGAACTAGAAAAGAAGGCCCAGAACAGAGTGGGTTGGAGAATGCTGGTCGGCGGCCTATGCTCCATTAGGAGTAACAGTCGTAAGTAAGTAAGTTTGCTTATTGAATATTTTACATTGACTTTGGTTAATCTATACAAATTACGTAATCTATGAAAGTGATTGTGTCATCAAATCATGTTACTACATTTAAGAAAACTTTTCACTATCAAAAAAATATCTAGACACCGTTAAATTAATTATGCATGAACAATTAGTGTTTCACTGAATGCAATTGAGTAGAATTACATAGGAAGTAATGGTTTTAACACGTCGTCTGTTAAAAGTTACTACCAATTTTATGAACTACACTAAAAATTACCTAGCAGTACATAAAACAATATCTTGTTGTTCAAAGCTTAGTAGATGAGATGACAATCGAACTAGTAGAAAATTGTTTGATGCTTTCTATATAAAATCAAAATTAGAATGAAGACCTAAATCGATTAATCAATTACGGCCATTGAACAAAACATCTAATTTCATTCTCCTTAAACTATACAAATAAAACTTTGGAAACATTCAGTACTATGTGCTGTGACAATTTAGATTTGTTACTTCAAGAAAACTCATCACTGTGTGAAGCATATAATTGGCATTAAAACCTACATAGTTTCCTAATACATTGGTAGAGTAAAGCAGTAACAACTCTTTACCATCACGAATGAACAGTGTAAATCTGAAAGTATTTCAGCGTAAATTACTGAACAGGAAATCAAATGAATATTTATTTATTTGAACACATAAAGATTGATACAAGGGGGCAGTCAGTCAGCGACAACGAGAGCGTTTTTTCTACCAGCAGGTCGATGATGAAGTTAAACAAAAAGAGATAGTGGACAACCTTGACGGACACCACTTGAAGTTGCAAAAGCAGATGACAGTTCGCCATAAGCTCTGATTCGACTAGTAGTATTCGAGTAAAGAGCTCTCACACGGTTTATGAACTTCTGAGGTACGCCTTTCAATGACAAACACTGCCACAGAACCTCTCGGTCTACGGAGTCAAATGCTGCTTTTAAGTCAAGAAAAAACTATCATTGTCGGACGCCGATAAGTATGCCTGTGTTCTAAAACCTGACGAATGGTGAATATGTGGTCGATGCAGCCACGACCAGGTCTGAAGCCAGCCTGATTTCCTCGTGTCTGCAGTTCACGAGTCTTAGTTGGGCGTATGATAATTATCGAGGCTAGTATTTTAGATGCTAAATTAGTCAAATTAATCCCTTAATAGATATCACAGGATGATTTAAACCCTTTCTTATATACTGGGGACAATCAGTGATTATGACGAGTTAGATAGGATAACGTCCAACTCCCAGATTTTAGCTAAAATATTAGTCAACCTAATCGCTAAAATTGGACCGCCATCCTTAAAGACCTCTGGAGCCAATCCATCTGGCCAAGCTGCCCTTCCTCGTTTCAGATTAACTATAGCCTTTTGAACTTCAGCAAGAGTCGGGGGACCTACTTCAACGTTCCATTCACACTGTCTGGGAATGGAGGGCAGTTGTAGAGTAGCTGAAGGCCAGCTGAACTGTTCTCTGAAATGTTCCGCCCATCGTTCTAAACGTCTGGACTGGGAGCAGATGAGTGTATCGTCTTTTTCCGATATAATCTCACTTACACTTGACTTATTAATTCCAGTTTCTTTTATTAGTCTGTAAAGCTGTCTTGTGTTCCCTATAGTCGCCGCCTTTTCCATCTCTTTTGCTTTCGTTGACCACCACTGCTCACGGTCGTTTCTTAGACTTTTTCTTAACCTAGATCTGATTTGTTGTCGCTCTTCCTCATGTTCGGAACCTGATGGGACGAGTTTGCGAGAATCCATCAGTGTGATAGACTTTGAAGAAATCCACTGGTTCTTTGTAACTCTGTGGTTTAAGTCGCTAATAGATGTCACTGCTGTTTCCACAGCTGCTTGTATTTCATTCCAAGCAACATCTGGGTCAGCCTCGTCTTCAGAACTACCTAATCGTGATTTCAGTTGTTCCTGGAACCTACTTTTGGTTTCCTCGCTACTCAGTTCGGTTCTAATGGGTCTTTTTACTGTGGCTTTTTTGCGTCCAGTGAGGCGCAAGCAGATGCGTGCCCGTATTAGGGCATGGTCGGAGTCCAAGCAGGTACTCCAGAATGAGCGACAATCTTGTACCGACCCTCTCCAACGATGACTGATGGCAATATGGTCTATTTGAGTCCATCGTTGGTTTGGTGCAGGCGGTCGCCACGTTAGACAATGTCTCTCCTTATGCTTAAAATTTGTGTTTGCTAAAAATAAGCGATTGTCTGAGAACAGTTGCAGCAGACGGTCACCATTGTCTGTTCGCTGTGCCGGAATGCTAAAATATCCACCTAAATGCCTTTCTGTTTGGTTTAAACTACCTATCTGAGCATTAAAGTCACCCCCTACGAGTACTATGTCTGAACGTTTAGCTTTCTGAAGAAGTTCGGACAGCTTTCTGTAAAATTCATCTTTCACTTCATCTGAGCTGCAGTCGGTGGGAGCATAGGCAGAAACGACAAAAAGACAACGACGTGTGTCCCTATCCTTCCGAGTTCTTACGGAGCCGTTTAGCCGAACAGCACATAAACGACTGTTGACGGGGGTCCACTCAAACAGTGCTTGTTCCGCCCTCATACTTAGTGCTATGCCCACACCTGCCAGTCCACAAAAACTGGCCGTCGGGTCACCAGATACACGTAGGGTGTATCTCTTTGGCTCTCCGTTTTGCCGAGGTGAGGTCAAGTAAATGACCACACTGGGATCCCGTATGCGTGTTTCAGAGACACAGCATACATCAATGGTACGAGATTCTAGGGTTTTAGCCAAGGAGGCCTGTTGGCCGATTTGACATAGAATGCGTACGTTGAAGGCTCCAACGTGCAGTTTGGAGCGAGGTTTCAGTAGACCTGGGACAGTATTTTGCGCACTAGAATCGTTGGCTATGGTGACACTTGAGGAAGCCAAGAGAGGACGTTTAGAATTAAGTCGATGTATGAGGGATAATAGGAATTGAAGAGGAAGGTTGACTATGAATACAGTGATCTTGATTGCTATTAGAGGTATGACGGCGGTTGTCACTTCCCGGCTGACCACACCGTGGAAGAACTCTTCTGGAGGTACCTGAAAACGAAATTGGATTATAAGTGGTCTTAGTGACCTGAGAGCGTGACCACACTACCCAAGAGACAACTGCTTGAGGTCGGTCACACGAGACCTTTTTGTGAGTAAGTTTCGTGTTAGCTCTGTACTTGTTGAGACCTTACCGTCGGAGACGGAGATCCATGGGATAAGGCGCTGTGTGGATTCTTACGGTCAAACTTTTCTAAACACACCCCTCCTTGTAGGAAGGCAGTATCGCTGTTATGCTGGTTGTCTGAAGGGAACGCCTTACTGCCGTCACACCGCTGTACAGTCAACAGTACGACTTCGCCCTTGGATCTTGGGTTTGCTGCTTTTAGTCTTATTACTCCTCAACCGACCTGTCTGGTATGGTAGGACATTGAGGAACGATTATTCCAGCCAGTATAGCTCGATTGGTTCATCACGATAAGCAAGCCCGATCACCACGTCAAGGTAGCAACAACGGTTGGGTACAAGGGGACACCAAATACACAAGCAACACATAATAACGAGGCCAATAGCAGGTATCATTGATTTATGTGATGGCTGTGATACTGCCTGGGTGCTCAGACCGAAGCAGGATTTGCGAGCTCTATGCTATGCTTTCAAAATGTTTGCGTCATCTAATAGTGTTGTGCTTGCTCTTACAAAGGTATAAATCTATTGTTATTATTTATTTGACTAAACAATATATTTATACATTTGTAAGAGCAAGCACAACACTATTAGATGACGCACACATTTTGAAAGCATAGCATAGAGCTCACAAATCCTACTTCGGTCTGGGCACCCTATATTTCGCATAAAGAATAAATAAAAATTCGAGTCAATAAAAGTATTCTGTAGGTTTTAATGTAACTAGTTAGCGAACCAATACTTATGTCAAAATGTTCCCAATAAGTTCAATGAATTCAAACAACAAATTCCACGTAAAATTGTCCTCATGAAACTAGTTTAATGTGAGGAAGGTAACAATGGCAAGAGTAAAAAGAGAGGGAAACTATGATTATATATATCATATATTTCAAAAAAACAACTAACTGCGAATAAAGACAATGAATTTTCAAGAAAAAAGATTAAACGAATAAAATCACCTGAATGCTCATCACTGTTAGGCATCGAACCAGGATCCTTGAGACTTCCGGAATCACATGTAGTGACCAAACCGTTCACAGCTAAGTCGAGAGCAGTATCTGAAGGGGCATATCTTGGGCTTAATTTCACACATAAAAAGAAATATTCAAAGAACCAAAGGAAAATTAGAAGTGAAAAGAATAAAAACTAAAAATAATTAATCCTAGCAATATTGATTTTACAAGTTGTTTGGTGAATCTAACAATAATGTTCCGAAATAACTAAGAAGTCAGGCAACCAATCAAAACATTTTACAGAGGATATCTTAGGTATTGCTGGTCTAAACAAAATTCTTGAGAACGATATTTCCTAACGAGCGGAAATCTTGAAATAACAACCATTTTAAAAATCTAGATTTCCCACTAACGTTTTCACATATGCATAGAAATATTGCTGTATTGAGGCAACGCCTGATAAAGGTCCAAATGAAAACAGTATTGTTCACCTATATGTGTCCGTTCTAATATCTATTTCATCTATAAATAACCAATACTAACAAGTTCCAGGATGTTTGATTTAACTGGGAAGTAATTCTCAATATATATATATATATATATTATTCAAAAGCAAATAAGATTTGAGCGAAAAATTGTTCTCAATAACTACATCATACAGCTCTACAGTTATAAACACATAATTATTGTGACATCTTACAAAGGTCAAAATATATTATAATTATAAAGCATTTGATTGTTTTAAACCTGATCATTGTTTAGCATTTATAAGTGTAAACTGTATAAGAATTTATGGGGGGGGGAATACTTAACAAATTCTTTTATAATCTAGGTGCACTGGTAAATTAGGGACTATTGTGAAACATTTTGCAATAACGAAATTTTTCCGCTACGTCAACAGAATATGAGCTAAAATGAAGATCCCTCTTATCAACGAGTACCTTATTACTAGAACCCGTTTAACGAAGCCTGAGTTTTTTTTATAGAAACTATGATTTGTAGTAAATTTCCTCAGTGTGAACATAGTTTTAGAGATAATGACAAAACAACTTTAAACTTCTGATATCGGAAGTACATAAAGAATTTATCGTCAATTTGAATAAAATGACGCCTGCAAGTTAATGATATAAGTACAGCTAAACAATAGTGCGGAACGACATCATATAGTACAATTTATTTGTTCTCATTATGTGATCGTTTCGGTAGATAATCCGCAACGTTAAAAAAACAACAATAGTTTACCACTCTTGCAATTTATACAATGAAAATATGTATCTTTATCAAATAATGGATAGGTGAAAAGATAACAGATTAGATTTCCATCATGCTGGTTGTAAAAATATTTTAGGAAATATTTCCGGATTTACTGTTATATCATAACTCGAAAATGGTGATACTAATAGTAACTGCCCTAAACACTGATGAACTGAAGTTATCGTATAAGAATTAAACACTGAAACATTACATAAACTAATTGTCTCCCAACCTTCATTGATGATAATGTCGTTAGTTGATATACTCTCTCAAATAAAACCGAGACTGACGAACATGGTAGGTTTCATGTGCTCTCTAGGTCTCCCATCACTAAGAATAATTACCCACCTTCAGATGCAAAATGAGTTATGTGGTATCCACCAAATTAAACATTAACTCAAAGATCTATTTTTAACGATTAAACCAGATCACATTATTTTAAAAAAAATATATACCAAACGAATTTCTAAATAAAATTTTATGATTAACTACTATGATTTTAAGACAAAAACTATCAGTCGAATAAAGTCAAGAACTTATAATACCATTGGTATTGAGGTTAGGAATACCTGTTGAGTTGCACCTTCAATCACATAATGAAATATGTAAACAGAGCAATAAGTGAGAATAAAAAGAAAATGCTCCATCATAAAATAAATGTGGAAAACATGTAGGTCCTGACTAAAAATAAGAGCCCCACAAACTATTTGATTACAGAATGAGATCTTGACCCTTAAGATGCATCTAGAACGAGTCTGTAGAGAACATAATATGAAGTATGAACTATATTTCAGTGAGTAGATAAAATAAATGTAGTTTGTAAGCCTTTAAAAAATTAAAGCCATTTCAGTATTGAATAATAAAGGTTTGAATATGAGTCAAGACTTAATCTTCATAAGTCTAAAACGCTAACAATCTTTGCAATTTCCCCATATTTTGTCTGGAGTAAAATAAGACACCTTTGAAGTTGACACAATTATACTCAATCTTTTTTAAAACATAAATCCACAGTCCTACTACGGTTTTCCTCTTAGTAATTGTCATTAAACATCCACCCAGTTCTTCCCATATTTTATCACACAGTTAGAGTAGATAACATGTAGTGAAGGAGAGCAAAGTAAATTCAACTTGACTACATCAGGTACTTATCTTTGTACACAAGTTTGTGATGTTTCTGTTCATCACTATCGACAGCAGTTGTACAGTGAGGAATATTATATCATAAATTATAAATGCTTATTTAGACAGCGATATGCACTGACAAACTAGAATCCTGATTTTCTACTTATATCCAAAGGTGAAACTAGAAAGGCTTTGTGGATTTTAGAAATAGCTGTACACCATTTCGACTAATTGAAAGAGAAAATTTTACTTCAGTAATTAGTAGACGATTCTTTCTCAGATATCAGTAAACTACGCAGTTCGAGTTGACTTCACTTGATAAACATAAAGGTTCAGGTGAACTATGTCGCCAAAGTTGTCTCTCAGACTAATTAAAGAGAATATTGTAGAAAAGAGTATAATAAATCGCCAATATATGAAGTGAATATTTGAAGGGAAGTAAATAAATTTTATCCACATAAATACCTGTCTCATAAAGAATGCATCGACACCTTAATTAAAAATAGTGACATCAGCAACAGACCAAAATTGACATCTTACTTTTTCACGATCCGTCCGTAATAGGGATTCTTCGCACGAAGTAACACACATGAGGATAAAAATCTATGACAACCTTTCAGAACATATGCAAATGAACATAAAGAAAAACGCTGTTGTCCCCCTCCCCCACCTTCTAAAGGAAAACATTATAAATCTAATACTCCTTATGATACATCTCTAAAAGGTAATCATCTACAATAACGGGCTGTCGTAAAACATTTAATTAAGGAGTATGATTAATGGTAAAAATAAGAAGTCGATAGCAGATCCCACAACCACTAGTGTAAACATTTTGAACTCTAGAACAACATATATAAGCGAACAATATTGTTTTCGATTAGATCCTCATCAGACTTTAATATACAGTAATATTTATATGCATATACGTAATTATTAAACCAATCAATTTCGAAATCTGTAACACTATATCTAATGACTGTCTGAACTACGGATTATAAGCTACAGATACGCGCGTTCTATTTTTGACAACTCAGAACAAACTCTCATACTTTACCAACATATTAAAGGCCAATCCTATCATCCGATTCACAGAACACCAAGTTCTGCAAACATCTTTCGGATACATATATCACAAAGTTTGATATATAACCAAATAATTGGGTAAAAGTTTATTTGCTAGCGTGAGATACAAAACGCTTGAAGTATAACTCGAATACTAAATTACTCAAACCAAAAGAAACGAGTTTGAAAGTATCGATATGATTTTATTGGTACAAAAGGGCACCGAATACAAATGCGCCACATAAGTCACTTGATTTGTGTGTGGGTTGTGATACTGCCCTGGTGCCCAGATCGGAGCAGGTGGTTTTCTTAGGTCACTCCAGCCTTTGATCTAAAAGTTTAATCCACAAGAGAATGGAGAAACGTCAGGAGATGCAGTCACATGGTAACCGGTGACCAACAATTGGTTCGTTTTATTTGTTACTTCAGAATACCAGAGCCCATGTGCACCAGTGTTTTGGAATCAGGGTTTTCCAACTCTCCTAGATGGATCCCCCATATCCACCAACCCGGTTAAAGCGCCGGACATTCGCTTTCCGTCCTCTCAATTTCGTAAACAACACCCCCGCCGCGAGAAGGCAGTGAGTAGGACTTCCCTGGCAGTGGCTGTATACGCGTGGCCATGTGAGAGCATTTCGAGAGGGAGAGCTAACTTCCCCCACCCTCGGCCGTACCAGGGCATTTGGGGGCTGAACTGTTCAAACTACACAACCGCTAGTCGGGAAATTAAATTGTTTGTGAGAGCATAAACAATCAAGCTCTTTATATAGATCCAAAGTAAGCCTATATGCACACCTTACCATTAAATACACTTAAGATGAATATGATCAGAAAGGAATCAATTTAACAGAATGACAGTTTATCCACATGTTGAATCACTTAATTGTAGCTTCAGTTTAACCGGATTGATCTGATCATTCATAAACTACTGAGTCAGATAAGCCATGTTTAGTGTTACAAAATCTCTAATTAGTGTGAACATTTTATTTTATTTATTTATTTAAGCATTGATACAAGGAGGCACCAAATAGATACGCGCCACATAAATCATTCGATTTGTGTGAGGGCTGGGATACTGCCTGGGTGCCCATACCGAAGCAGGTAGTTTTCTTAGGGGCCACACCCGAAGCCTAAAGGTCTGAACCACAGGGCAGTGGAGTAGTGTGAACAAATACAACATAACTAAGTAAACGATTTCGAATTAAAACGTCGATAATGCCACCACAAAAATAAAAACAAATTCTGAAGACCAGTGAACCAAAACTACAGAGTTTGCCACAATGTATTCGGAAAAACAAAACTCTGACATACACTAGAACAAAAATAAAGGGGAAAATAATGAAAATTGAAAGGAAATATTCACAACTGCAATGTAAATTCCCAGAATGAAAGCAAACCTAACATGCATTCTCCTTACTTTTCTATAATCATAGATAAGGGTTCACCAGCCAAAACTGTTTCTACTCCATTGGATGAACTACATTTTGTTTTATGCAATCGTGAGACCAAAGAATGTAAGGCAACTCCACGGGATTTGCATTTGCTTACCGCAGATATATTTCGAAATCGCTTTGTAAGTTTATGAGATTCAGCCGGAGTAAGTTTAGTTAACAACGGGAGAGTGTCTTTATGGAAACCAGTTAAAAATGTGAGGCGTTTGAATGGTTGACGAGCTCGGCGTCGAGGACTTGAAGTCACACACAGCCGACGAGCGATTCGAAGAGTGACACTAGCGACAAAATGAAAGCTGACGCTGGTACGAACTTTAGATGCTAGCATATATGCATTCGAATTATTAACTCCTAAGTCGTTCGACTTTGTAGAGTGGTCAGTCGAAACAGTGGGTGAGTTCTTACGAGCTTGGAGTTCAGTAATGGAAATATTAGTTTTCGAGACACTCATGGTTTTGGAATCTGAGCTGGAAGCGCATGTTGGATTGGAAGAAATTGGTTCGGAAACTTTATCTGGAAAACAAATACAACAAACGTAGATCGTCAATATAATAAGACAGGTAATTAATGAATATTTAATTAATCATACTATATTTCACTGGCTAAACAACGTAGTGGTCAAACTTCAACATTATCGAATAAATATCTATATTTAAGAGTATTGTTTGACAAACTGATACTTCAGACACATATTTCTAACTAATAGCTAAATTCATTATTCTGGTCACTATATTACAACCAGATACTAGAGTCGAAGAAACGACTTCATCTATAATAAAGTTTGGTAACTTGAGTCAACGTGTATGTGTGCCAGGTCCCACATTACTCGTGATAACGATATAAAAAATCTATAAACAACCATCACACTATTAAGAACAAAAGGTGGTCTCGGGAATTTTATTTACTGACTAATTGACTAGATACCGATTCGTGTACCTGGTTTTGAACCATACTCTAAGTGTCTCAATGATACAAAAATGCGACAAGAGCAGAAAACCTAAAACAAACCTGTAGCTTCTTCAATACTAGAAGCTACTCCACTGAAAAATAGGTTAAATAATAAAAAAATTTTTACGAGCTGTATACACTACCATACAAGTAGAATTCCAGTAATATAGCATAAAAAGTACCATCATCACAAATGAAATTATTCCTTATTTTTCCCAAGTCTTAAACACAGTAACATTCTGTAATTCATATTTCCCGTGAAATGAGAAGCTTTTTCGACTAATTTCCTTATTTTTAGTGTACACGACTCCAAGTATCAGTACCTTTCTTAATTCGTTTTACCACTACTTATTTACTTTCTTCTTGTGTTGTAACATGGACCAAAAAACACCCGTGCTAGTGTCACAAAATAAATGAACTTAAATAATGCATGTATTAAAAAGTGCTGGAATAAGCTAATGAATCTCACCCAAAAGTGATGTGGATTTTAAGTCTCCATATCGCTTCCAGTAATTCCAACAATCAACGCAAACTTTTAAAGGAGAATGAGATGGACCAAGAGCATACCACAGAGTTGATGTAAGATTAGGACAACCCTCGCATCCAGATGCTGAGCTACTAGTATCAGTTGGATAAAGAACAGCCGGGTTCGGCTTGTTGTAATTTGGAATGTATACTTGCTTTAGATGATGTTCTGCTTCAATAGCCTTCATACGTTTTTGCTGAACATAATGATCTGTAGTTTTCCACATGTAGTAGAATTCCACAAGGCTCTAAAAGTATAAAAAATCAATAATACAAACTAAATACGTTACACCAAAACACAACTACAGATAAACATTTGGAAATATGTAGTTTGAAGGATAACCGCAAACTGAAGACTGGAGTTATAAAGTTAGTTCAATGTTTGATATAAATATCGAACCTACAGAAATGTAGGGTACAGATGCACTATTTCTAGCTTATTCTAAGATCGACTTACATAGTATGCAGTAAAACGTAAGATTTCAGGAATTCAGTTGACCTTGATTTCTGTTTTACTGGTTGATTTCGTTTAAGAAAGTTCACCAGTATGCAAAACTAACAAGTATGGTAATAATCCAATTATTCGGAAAAAAATTGTAAAAATTACCGGTGTATTTTCATTGGGACGATACTGAATTAACAAGAGTAAACTATGTCAGGATGGATCGAAACCCCAAAAAATGCAAAATACAAGCTGTTAGCACATGCTAGGCAGGTGTATATCTTTTTAGTGACAATGTCAGTAAAAAATAAAATACTGAAAACAAAGCTTCCAGATACTTGAGCTTGATTCTATATTAGATATATGGAAAAACGAATGATACGTCTGGTCACTATAGTATACGAAGAAAAGAGGTGACTAATGAAATATAATATTAGTATGAAACATCAACCACATTACTTTTGGGTACTTCCAAGGAAGGAAGTCATTTTGTATTTCATAAAAACACTTCCCATATTTTTCTAACGCTTCTTCAAAAAGATTGCCTTCGCTTGCTGACCACTGCTCCATTTCATCCAACTTTAAGATCGGTTGTCCATGAGGAGCTAACATTTGAAGTGCTTGCGAGATATTATAATTAGCAGAATGTAAAGTATCTAAAGCAAACTGGTGTGTGGTATCTCTGGCCGCTGCAGCTGCAGACATTGTAAGGTTTGGCTGACGGAGAATATGTGGTGGATAAAAAGATCTGCCCAATGTAGCAAGAGATCTAATTAAGAGGAGATATGAGTCTAGATCTGAAGGAGTTAAATTGTTGTCTGGTCGCCACAGCAGCTGTTCATGTGTAGATTCGTCGGTAGAATCTAAAATTAATATAAAAATAAGACAATAAATCAAAAATAGCACACTAAGTAAGAGCTACAGTATAAAATTAGTTATTTTTACAATCCACTATCTACCCTAATCAAACTGTAATATTGAGAACTTATTTTAGTTGTTAGACTTGTCACTAACGCATTAGTAGGAATTCATCAGATATTCTAAACGAAGTTCCCCTTGTCAAGAAAGGGTTTATTAGTTAACAAGAACATTGAAGATATCATAACGAAGGCTTACATTCTAGGAGAGGATGGTAAGGCTCAATCTCTGCTTGATATTGAGGACCTTCCCGAATAGATCCTTGGTCAGCTTGGAGAGTTTTTTGCAACGGATCATACACTAATTGAAAGAAAAAAGTGTCATCTTTCGTCAGGTAGATATGATAAGGTTCCGTTTCGGTATGTAGAGTAACTATGCATTTTCCACGAATATGTGTTGCTGGAAGTGTTTCCAGATGTCGGGAAAGGAACAATTCACGATGATGTATCTTCTGAATAAGTAAAAGAAAAAGACCATTACCTGGTGCAGTATATCCGGTTGAGTATCATCACCGCAAGTTCCTAACTCTTCTGTGATAGTATGTCACATTAGACTACAACTTACTTTGATGTTTGTCGGCCAGCTGTATCAAGTTCGGTGATAAGTCTCGTCGCCTATAGAAACATACTACTTTGGCCTCTACTGCGCCAGTGGGAGTCTAACTTATTCGATTCCAAATAAAAAACAAACCTTATTCAATTCTTCGATTTTTCTGATGTGATATGGTGATGCCGCAGCAACTTCGAAGTAGACAAAATCTGAAAACAAAAGTAATGGTTTTTTATATTTATCCGGCAAGAATTAAAATCAACTTTTTACCGTAGAAACGAAATGGGAAAACATCAAAACTCAAAAATAGATAATACTTTCGTTACAAAATAGTAATCAAAGGAAGACCCATCGGTTTTTCATGACAATTAGCGACAGTAATTGACATGCAACCGCTCTATGAAGTGAGCAATTAGGTCACGTGTCCATTAAAAAGCAACTAGCGTTTTAGACCGAGTATTCTAGGACATGATTAAATCGGAAATTGAGAAACCTCGAAACGACGCAAAGATAAAACCAAAACATGAATCATTACAGTGGTGAATATGAAGTGCATGGGTACTGATATGTTCAAAGTAGTACGACCAACGTCGTGAATGTTTACCCGGAATGCAAATCATACACCAAACATTACGTCAAAACATCTTCACAGCCTTATCCATTATGCCTAAAGATCACACTATCAGACATAATAGTGAAACCTGGGTAATAGTATAAAAGCAGTGGTGACCTGTATTGAATCCAGAACGTATTTCATTGTATTTAGTAATCGTCCGCTGTATGTACATGGAAGTCAGTCTTACTCTACAAATTCACGTTCAATTCCAAAATGGACATTTTCACATCCAAAGCTGTTATGGCGAGTACTAAAAAAACATTCATACCAGCATGCTAACCTGATGAGTCTGAAATAGGAAACGCACCCAGGACTTCATTATCAACTTTGTATCTACGTACAGTGCTTACGCCCTAAAATGCCAAGGTGGGGACTTACGCTTCTCCCCTCGAAATGCTTCCATATGGCCATGCATTAACAACCGCTGACAAGAAATTTCTACTCACTGCCTTCTCGAGGCAGGGGTGTTGTTTACGGAATCGAGAGGACGAAAAGTGGAAGTCGAGCGCTTTAACCAGGCTGATGGATGGGGAGGATCCATCCAGGGGAGTTGGAAAACCCTGATTCCAAACCAATGGTTCACATAAGCTCCCGTATCCTGAAATAACAAATAGCATATGGACCTATGGGTCACCGACTACCATGGGACTGAATCTCCTAACACTGATCCACTGTCTTGTGGATTATACCCTCAGGTCAAAGGCTAGAGTGGCTTCGTAGGAAAACCACCTGCTTCGATATGGGCTCCTAGACAGTAGTTCAGCCCTCACACAAATCGAATGAAGTGTGGTGCATACATATTTAGTGTCTCCCTGTACCAATGTTCGTGTTCAAATAAATATGAAAACATCAATCCGTCTAATCCCACATAAAGCATGACGAAATGCAAGCTTTAGTAAAAATCATTTTGCTGTACCCAAAACTATGGTCTTAAATGATCTTCCTCATTTACAGAAACGCAGAAAAACTGATACTGGTTTCTGGGTAGCAATAACGTTGCTGGAGGTAAAACATCACAGCTAATTCACACAGCTTAACTCAAAGTCAAAATGAATTATTGTCACATTACTATGTAAATGATTAGATTTAAAAGCCATCGTAAAAAAAAGTTTCACGACGGCAAAGAACACATCAAAAAACTTAACTCATGACCAAATTACAAGGTATGACGCATTCAAAAAAAATTAACTGGGCTGCTGCGAAAGACCAGAATATTCCTGTGGATGTGATCTTCATAGATCTAAGTAAGGCCTTCGACAAAGTCTCCCACTCTGGTCTTAAATTCAAACTGGAACGTTTTGAAATCCATTATACAGTCGTAGATTGGATAAGTAACCTTCTGCATGACAGGAGACAAAGGGTAAGGGTCGATGGGGCTTTCTCCTCGTGGGTACCTGTAAAAAGTGGAGTTCCCCAAGGCACAATTCTCGGTCCTCTTCTCTTTTTACTTTATGTAAATGAATTACCAACCGTACCAAAATCATTCCTTCTACTCTTCGCTGATGACATAAAAAGTTGGAGACCCATAAACAGTATGTCGGACAGAATCAGTCAGTCAGTCAGTCAGCTACAACGTAGGACCAGGCACATATGTGCATCGGTCCAGGTTGCCATACCGCGTCAGCACAACAAGATGAACACCGGATTCATAGCAGTGGTTAGGTCAAAGGTAGTAATATGTAAGAGAAAGATTGCATATAGAGATATAGTACAAGAAGAAAGAATTGGTTCGTAGAAAGAAAGATATGAAGCGATTTTAATCTCTTAGTTTAAGGGAAGACAAAGAGTGTATACACCGACGCCATTGTGATCGATTCTGAGCCATGTCACCAAGAGTCTCCAACCATTGGTTACGATAGTCACGCAGACCCCAACCAAGTAGTCTGCATCTACCAACATGGCTCAGACTAGAAGTTAGTGACTTCAGGCACTGATGCCACGTTTTGGTTTGGCCGCCCCTAACTTTCTTCCAACCATCCCCTACCCCGGTTAGCATTGCACGTCGTGGTAATCGGTGTTCAGGCATACGTATTACGTGGCCCAACCATCTCAGTCGATGAAGATTCATAACCTCATCAACTGATTTACCATCATTCCCTAATACCTTGCGTCTAACCTCACTATTACTTACCCGGTGATCCCAGCAGACGCCAGCAATATTTCTAAGGCATCTGTGGTCAAATACTAATAGCTTACGAGTGTCTTCTACTCTTAATGACCATGTTTCGCAGCCGTAAATTAAAACAGAACGAACTGCCGCGCAGTATACTCGTCCTTTTATTGGTAGACGGATATCTCGCCTTCGCCATAGGTGACGCAAGTTGGCAAAAGCCAATCGAGCTTTTCGAATCCGTGCTGAGATTTCGTCCGATACCAACCCATTAGGGCTGATCAGACTTCCAAGATAAGTGAAGTTGTCAACGCGTTCAACTACTTCACTCCCTATCCTTAGTTCAGGTGTTAACGCAGACCAGTCCTGAAGCAAAAACTTGCATTTAGAGGGAGAGAAGCGCATTCCAAACATCCTGGCATTGTTGCTCAGTGCTACCAGAAGACTCTGCATTTTGTCAGCGTCTTCACCAAACAGGACTATGTCATCTGCGTATTCCAAGTCGATAAGTGGACCTCCTGGAAGGAGATCAATACCCGAGAACTCAGTCAACGAGAAAGTTATTTCCATCAGTAGATCTATGATGAAGTTCAACAAAAATGGGGAAAGTGGACAGCCTTGACGGACACCACTTGACGTTGCAAAAGCAGATGACAGTTCCCCATAAGCTCTGACTCGACTAGTAGTGTTCGAGTAAAGAGCCTTTACAAGGTTTATGTACTTCTGGGGTACGCCTTTCAATGACAGACACTGCCACAGAATCTCGCGGTCTACCGAGTCAAATGCTGCTTTTAAGTCGAGAAAGACCACCATCGTCGGACGCCGATAAGTATGCCTGTGTTCTAGAATCTGACGAATGGTGAATATGTGGTCGATGCAGCCACGACCAGGTCTAAAGCCAGCTTGGTTCTCTCGTGTTTGCAGTTCACGAGTCTTAGTTAGGCGTCTGATAATTATCGAGGCTAGTATTTTAGATACTATATTAGTTAAACTAATCCCTCTGTGGTTGTCACAAGATGATTTTGACCCTTTCTTATATATTGGGACGATAAGTGATTGTGACCAGTCAGATGGAATAACGTCTAACTCCCAGATTTTAGCTAAAATATTAGTCAACCTAATCGCTAAAATTGGACCGCCATCCTTAAAGACCTCTGGAGCCAATCCATCTGGCCAAGCTGCCCTTCCTCGTTTCAGATTAACTATAGCCTTTTGAACTTCAGCAAGAGTCGGGGGACCTACTTCAACGTTCCATTCACACTGTCTGGGAATGGAGGGCAGTTGTAGAGTAGCTGAAGGCCAGCTGAACTGTTCCCTAAAATGTTCCGCCCATCGTTCTAAACGTCTGGACTGGGAGCAGATGAGTGTATCGTCTTTTTCCGATATAATCTCACTTACACTTGACTTATTAATTCCAGTTTCTTTTATTAGTCTGTAAAGCTGTCTTGTGTTCCCTATAGTCGCCGCCTTTTCCATCTCTTTTGCTTTCGTTGACCACCACTGCTCACGGTCGTTTCTTAGACTTTTTCTTAACCTAGATCTGATTTGTTGTCGCTCTTCCTCATGTTCGGAACCTGATGGGACGAGTTTGCGAGAATCCATCAGTGTGATAGACTTTGAAGAAATCCACTGGTTCTTTGTAACTCTGTGGTTTAAGTCACTAATAGATGTCACTGCTGTTTCCACAGCTGCTTGTATTTCATTCCAAGCAACATCTGGGTCAGCCTCGTCTTCAGAACTACCTAATCGTGATTTCAGTTGTTCCTGGAACCTACTTTTGGTTTCCTCGCTACTCAGTTCGGTTCTAATGGGTCTTTTTACTGTGGCTTTTTTGCGTCCAGTGAGGCGCAAGCAGATGCGTGCCCGTATTAGGGCATGGTCGGAGTCCAAGCAGGTACTCCAGAATGAGCGACAATCTTGTACCGACCCTCTCCAACGATGACTGATGGCAATATGGTCTATTTGAGTCCATCGTTGGTTTGGTGCAGGCGGTCGCCACGTTAGACAATGTCTCTCCTTATGCTTAAAATTTGTGTTTGCTAAAAATAAGCGATTGTCTGAGAACAGTTGCAGCAGACGGTCACCATTGTCTGTTCGCTGTGCCGGAATGCTAAAATATCCACCTAAATGCCTTTCTGTTTGGTTTAAACTACCTATCTGAGCATTAAAGTCACCCCCTACGAGTACTATGTCTGAACGTTTAGCTTTCTGAAGAAGTTCGGACAGCTTTCTGTAAAATTCATCTTTCACTTCATCTGAGCTGCAGTCGGTGGGAGCATAGGCAGAAACGACAAAAAGACAACGACGTGTGTCCCTATCCTTCCGAGTTCTTACGGAGCCGTTTAGCCGAACAGCACATAAACGACTGTTGACGGGGGTCCACTCAAACAGTGCTTGTTCCGCCCTCATACTTAGTGCTATGCCCACACCTGCCAGTCCACAAAAACTGGCCGTCGGGTCACCAGATACACGTAGGGTGTATCTCTTTGGCTCTCCGTTTTGCCGAGGTGAGGTCAAGTAAATGACCACACTGGGATCCCGTATGCGTGTTTCAGAGACACAGCATACATCAATGGTACGAGATTCTAGGGTTTTAGCCAAGGAGGCCTGTTGGCCGATTTGACATAGAATGCGTACGTTGAAGGCTCCAACGTGCAGTTTGGAGCGAGGTTTCAGTAGACCTGGGACAGTATTTTGCGCACTAGAATCGTTGGCTATGGTGACACTTGAGGAAGCCAAGAGAGGACGTTTAGAATTAAGTCGATGTATGAGGGATAATAGGAATTGAAGAGGAAGGTTGACTATGAATACAGTGATCTTGACTGCTATTAGAGGTATGACGGCGGTTGTCACTTCCCGGCTGACCACACCGTGGAAGAACTCTTCTGGAGGTACCTGAAAAGGAAATTGGATTATAAGTGGTCTCAGTGACCTGAGAGTGTGACCGCAGTGCCCAAGGGACAACTGCTTGAGGCCGGACGCGCACGGCCTTTTCGTGGGAGGTTTTTGACGTGTTAGCTCCGTTCTTCCAAAGGGCCTTACCGCCGGAGACGGAAATCCGTGAGGTAAGGTGAGGTGCGCATTTTTAGGGTCAACCTTTTCTAACCCAACCCCTCCTTGTGGGAAGGCAGCATCGCTGTCATGCTGGTTGTCTGAAGGAAACACCTTACTGCTGTCACACCTCTGTACAGTCAGCAGTACGACTTCGCCTTCGGACCTTGGGTTTGTTGCTTTTAGTCTTACCGCTCTTCAACCGACCTGTCTGGTATGGTAGGACCTTGAGGAACGGTTGTTCCAGCCAGTATAGCTCGGTTGCTTCATCACGATAAACAAGCCCGACCACCACGTCAAGGTAGCAACAACGGTCGGACAGAATAGTATTACAGGATGATCTTAGATCATTGGTGGCATGGTTGGACAGATGGTCACTAGAAGTAAATCCTAATAAGAGTGTAGTGATGCAGCTAAATAACTCTGATGAATCGTATGACTATACACTACGTGGATTCGTGCTACCCAAAGCAAGAAACTATAAAGACTTAGGAGTTATATTAAGCAATGATCTCAAAACGACTAGTCACTGTAAGGCTGCTGCTGCCAAAGGCTATAGGGTATTATGATCAATTCGTAGGTCTTTCCGGTATTTAGATGATGAAATGTTTAGATTACTATACCCGATTTATGTGCGACCACATTTAGAATACGGGATTCAAGCAGCGTATCCTTGTTTCAAGTATGAAGCAGAGATGCTGGAAAGAGCCCAACAACGAGGTACTAAGATGGTCAAAGGTCTATCTGACCTATCTTATGAAGACAGACTGAGACACCTCAACTTAATTCCGTTATCTTACCGTAGAGTACGGGGTGATTTAATATTGGCTTATCGTATACTGAACGATGACCTTGGTATTAACATGTCTTATCTTTTAATTCCGTCCAGGACTGATCATTTGATAGGACATTCGAAGAAAGTTCAAAAGCCGAGACCAAATCATTTACGTTTGGAGTTTCGTTTCTCGCACCGAGTAGTGAATTATTGGAATTCTCCACCGGAACACGTAGTATCAGCACCCGTTGATATATTCAAAACGAGATTGGACCTCCACAGTATTACAAACTGCAAGGATTAATATAGGTCGACAGACCTATCCTTATTACTGAAGACTGAACTTAACTACCTCTATCCTATGGTCTGGTGATAAAAGATTTCAAAAAACCGAATTTCAAAGGGTTTTAATACTACTGATTAAAAAGTGAGGGATGTTTAAACTTTAATTAACCCATTTTTCACACACGTATGAGCCAAACTTGAAGTGAGAGGGTCAATGATACAACCTCGTTGTTCAAAACCCAAGTGGAGCGGGTTTTTACATGGGCCCTAGAAACTGAGTCGAACAGAACCGCTAAACTAGTTATAATATTTAAAATAGTTTTGATTCAAGAACTGTAACTTTCGAACCTTAAGTTGATAAGACATGGTTGTAAACCTATCAAATATGTGTCCAAACATATTAGTGGGTTCAAAATACTCCAAGTTTAAAATAATCACAGAAACCAAACCGAGTGTAGGAGGAACAATCAGACTTTAAGTTGAGGTTGTTAATTAGTAGTCTGTACAATTGAGCTTATAATACAACCCCTTATAAAATTTCAAGTAAAAACATTATCAGCGGATACAAAATTGGGAAACTAATATATTTATACTTAATTTAACATCCGAAACCGCAGATAAGAACATTGGTCACTGATATCCATACTAACTGGGCTTAGATGAGATATTAAGCATAAGGCAATTAACTTGGAAATGGTAATGGTGAGAATTTCATTTCGAGCAACTTAGCGCCTGCTATCAAGGATCGAACTGCATCTCTCTAAATACATGGACGTGAGATGGAGCTCTACACGAATTAACAACTAAACCAAATATGTTTACAAACCAGAAAGTTTCCTTCCATCTACAATCCTAGAACTATAGGACAGCATACTTCTAAGACAAGTGGGTGTTAACAAGTCATTAATGAACAGGAGGAATAAAGTGTGTCAATAAAATACTAATCAACATACCCCCAACTCTGTACATATTATTAGATGTCATAGTTGGGAATCACTACAGGCAAATGCAAAAATCAGGTGTCAAGGCCATCCATCAGCTGCCATTTGATTCCGCCGGCTGAACTAACCGGAAGCTCTTAAACACTGTCACAGTGAATACTCACTCGACTTTATAATAAGCTGATTCTTAGCCATCATTATGGCAGAAGTTTTTCAAAAGTTCAAAATCCGGTTGTTTTAACCAGGAAAGAATGTTAGAAATTGCATCATGAGTCTTGATAGTTCTTACATAGTATATCTAACTAAGTATTATCCTGTAGCGGTAAATAGATCCCCGAAATCAATAGCTCTGGAAGCGTTCGATATTTGATGCTGACCACATTAGTTTAAATGGACTGACCTAACTGAAGGCGCTCGGTCATGGATCCTCACTAGATCACGAGTGGGAATGTCGTGTTCGACTTCTCCTGCAACTGCTAGCCAGGTTAGATCAGTCACTTCTCGGTATATTGATAACATATCAAATATATCTTCAAACTTGACTTATGATTCCACTGGGTGGGCACGATCCAATTATAGAAAGTGTTATTGGTTAAAGTGCTGTCAAATTATAAATATCTGTGGCATCTTCAATCCCAGTAGGCCACAAACTTAAATAGCTCTTCGAATTGGCTTAGAAACAAGTGTAACATTCCTTAAGAACACTGAAATAGGCTACTGATTTTATGATTAGCGTTCTTCCCCAACAGTCTACTTTTCTCCCGACCCATACTGTCAGAAGGTTTTCGGCTTCACTTAACTATCACGTACCGACTATGGTGGTCACGTTTCTGTTACAGCAATCATTCGATCTCATAAGAACATGTAGCTCCGGCTGTTGTTTAGACAAGCTTATGGCAATTGTGTTAAGGATTCGAAATCATTTTAAGCAACCTCGTTTTGTGTCCACATTGGTTTTTGGATTATTTACTTCATAAATTCTACTTTTCGAAAAAAATGTTTTGATAGGTTGTTTTTCTCTAGCAACAGTTTCAGTCTTTGTTTCAAGGTAGTTATACAATTCTAGTTAACCACAGTGAAATACGACTATTGGTTAACTAACATATGTCAACTCATTCATCATGTCTATAAACTCAAACATTCATATCGCTCTACTGCAAAGTGTTTAGTGAGGCACACTCAAAAACTTACTTGCACCCAAGAATGAAACTCCACTCCGCCATCAGTAGGCATCATAATTTTAACCTATATAATATTGGAGTATAGAGCAGAAATGTTGTTGTGGCATTGGGCACTAACCTCACAATCATCAAAGCTGAACACGAGACAACTGGTAAAATAGATGTTCTATATTTAATGCGGAGAAAAACCCAACGATGGAGAAGGCGGGAAGAATTAATAGGGTGAATTCGAATCGATCGAACGGCATGGCTCGGCCTTGCGGGCGTGGTCATTCTTAAGTGTTGTAACATAATCTTTTATTCACATTAAATATATTGTTCTATCTCTAGCCTAAGTTTGTTCTCCATCATATACCGGTAATTGTTACGACGCGATGAGTTGGTGTGGACAATGATGGGACATCCACGTAAGATCCCACAGATTAGACAGTTGTGTCACGACAAACCTACAATTTTAGTATTAATTTTATTATTAGAGCAGTACTAATATCATAGCAGACCACAATTCCACAATGTCACCGTGTCTATAACTCATAGCAATTTTATACTAACGGACTGATATTACGTTCTAATAATAAACTAAGTCTAATTACATACCACTTATAACTTGTTCGCAAACAATCAATTGCAAAAGTAAAGAAGAACGATCCGTGGGTCTAAGACATTAGGAATTAACTTGTCAAGGACAATGATAGCCCCATCTTCCTACGTTCTTGAACGTAGACCCCAAACACACCTCACAGCTTTATTTCAAGCATCTTTGGACATTCATCATAACTCTAGAGATATTTGTCTTGTTTGTTGACCAGTCTGTAGAGCATTATTCTATTTATACTTGGATTATTGTTGACTTCGTAACAGCTCATACTGATAGTGGTAATATTTATAATTCCCTCATTTTACTATTTACTTACAATAAACAGCTTTCCTGTTAATGTTTGGTGATGAACTGCTACAACCATGTCAGTTACTTGTCATGAGCTATTAGTCCATCTTCACGGTTATTCAATGTTCTGAACTCTACGACACAGCCCACTCACATTCCACTGGCCAATCCATCAGGAGAGTTATCTGTTTGACAAATAATGTATAAAGGATTCTGTGATATCAAACCAAGAGAAAGATTAACGTCTAAAACGCCCCAGAAGGAAGTAAAAATTAATCTTATAGCTCGTTTCTTTGAGTTAGAAAGTGTTCGAGGATTGGCTTAAACTCCACTAAGCACTCATGAGAAGATTTTCTTTTTTAGTGTTGGTTGGCACAACAAGTACGTCAAGACATCATCACTACTCTTAATCTACTACTTTAAGGAAATACTTTGAAGAAATAAGTGACCGGCAACGTCAGCAAGTTGGTAGAATTTATAACAATAATCTTACGGTTGAGTGACTAGGAACTCTAACCCTTGTACTATTCTGTTATCAGCGATAAACAACCGCCCACAAAGTATACCAAGGCACAACTATTCGGCGAGTCTGAAACAAAAAGAATAAATACTAAATATACCAAACACCGCACAAGTATGCATTTTAAACTGCACATCTAACTAAGCTATTCTGATAGTTTCGTCGCTGTTGTCTGAGTGTCTTCCCAAAATTAAAAAATTGGGAGTAGTTAAGGTATACTGCGGAAGAGAACTAGTGAATAGGAAATGTGATAAGATACTTATTATTTCACAAAAACTGCAAACCTCAACAATTAGTACAGAGCAATTTACTTGCCAGAAACGTGTTTACTGGACTATAATAACAGTATAAGTTGGAAACTGAAAACTTTTAGATTTATTCACTGAGTAGTTCGTGCCTGTAGATAACCCTCGTGTTGTCGATAGAAGAAACCAGACTGATAGTGAATAAGTCTTTATTTAGATCTTCGTAAAGTCACAGTGGAGCGTGGGATTGCCTGTTAAGATAAACAAAGCTTTTCAACATTGAATATAAGGTAACAGGAAATATGATGTCTGTGCAAAATAAGGAAGTGAAAGAACAGTTGAACTCCATTGTTTTGACACATACTTAGCTGTTAGACGTCAACTCTTAACCAATCAACCTAGGCTGTTACACGAGCTTCCCCTAGAATCGACTTCTGTAGGTACGTTAGTTCGATTATGCATCATCAAAAATATCCTACCCATCAAAAACACCCAAGTTCTGTTTCCGCGGCCCGAGGGAGAATTATCGACTCGCTCAATGAATGACGACTAACTCCGCCAGCAATCGACGGTAGTCCATGGATGTCTCTTCATTTACTAGCTTGTGATCTTATTTTGTAGCATGTGCTTGTAAGAAAAAAAGAGTGAGAAAATGAAGTAGGAATATCTGAGGAAGTGCCGCGATCGGGCTACCCAACACCATGTTTTTGAGGTACGATTTTCCCATGCTCTGTCCATCTATCAGGTGTTTACTCACCTGCTTCTTGAGTCGCCCTCAAGCAAAAGAGTGAAGAAGAATCTACTTCAAAGGCAGTGATGAAAACCAATGAAACATGAACAACTGCTCCACTGCCTGCATAAATATACTGAGGTACAAATAGAAAATACACAAATATAATTGATAATTGTTCAGTTCCACGTAAGTGTTTGGCTTCCAGAATGGATTGGTAATGTGGGAGGAAATAGATATAGTGTAGACATTCTGTGCATAAAAATATATGAAAACAAAATCTCTTTTAGAATACATGTATGTAAATATGGGAATTTGCGTGAATTTGAACTCCTCATCAAACACGATAAAATATGTGACCTTGAGTCTATGAAGACTGCTCTTTCATAACCTTGTACGTAACCGCGGGCACATAAGAGTACTTCCCAACCCGGAAAAGTAGAATATACGGTTAAGGAGGAAAAGAAGATTATAAAGAGTATGAGGATCGAGTACATCTGTGTCAGCCATCATTTGATGGCTTGATGTAGGTATGCATGATACATTGAAGCCACGTTTCCCCAAGTCATCTATGTAACGAGTTGATCTGCATCTTACAAGTGCGTACACCTTATCAGTCAGAAGTGTTATGAATAATTAATCAATGTGAGAAAATACTATACTCATTTCCATTGTAGGCCGTTGTGGCTTATTGGCTAAGTGTGTTCTCTAGCATTCAGGAGGGCAGAAGTTTGAATGCGTATGAAGACGGCGTTTTTGTTTGCAAAACTCACTTGTATACGATGCTCGCTGATTGAAAGTTATTATTATTATTATTGTTAATGGCTTTATTCAATATTATATTTTGGCACAATATAGAATATAGAAGTTGCTCAGACATGCGGAGAAATAACAATAAATGGACAAATTAGAATGCCGAAGTGCCCTAACAAGTCACATTAGAACACCTGTTATCTGCTTAAAGTATGACCAGTACAAGTGTTTTCTGTGTATATTAATAATAATCAAATAGAAAAGCCACATGTGTTGTAGCGACCGAACAACCAATATTCGATTGGAACAACGGACTGACGAACCCAGAACTTATTTGATTAGACCTGACCACGTTCCTCTGTATGGCTCACAACGCGTTTTTGAGATACTCGTATTATATTATATCAAAACACAAACTCTGTGCTCAATATAAACGGTTCTAATTAAGAAAACAGAACAAATTACATCAAAAAAACAAAATACCTCGAACGGTTCAGCCTGTGCTATACAGTCAGACGTTTCTCTAACGCAAAGTAGCGCGCTAAACAATGAAAGAGACAGTTAATACTAAAGGGTTTGATACCTGAGAATCAATACAAATATTCCCAACAAGACGTGATCAAATATCTATCTGCAGAGATTCCAGCAATCCTACCAAGCAGACAGTCAGAAGGTTAACAGTCAAACACTAAACCACGCCGTGACCTTGAGCTTAGTCAAACACGACC